CTAACCCTAACCCTAACCCTAACCCTAACGCAAAAAAGGGGCTTGAACGACCGACGGCTGGCGTACCTCCAGCCACTGCGGAAAATAAGCGGCAGGTTTGAAACACGTGTCTTTGGCGCTTTTCTATTCTAACTCTAAGCACAGGCCCTTGGAGGCTCAAGTTTCGAAAAAGTATAAGTCTATATAAGTATATTAAGAGCGAAGCGCTTCGCTCTTAATAATAATAATATAGACTTATAAGTTATACTTATATAGTTATACTATAGTTAAAGTTATACTTTTTCGAAACTTGAGCCTCCAAGGGCCTGTGCTCTAAGTAACTTGAGTGATTTCCGATGATATACATTATAATGTCTTCATAAAGCATCACATGGAACGATAATTACAATGATATCGTACTAGTGAATTAATCTTCTGCAGCCACCTGCAAATATTATTTAGGACTCGGAGATAAACCAAGGGGAGATAAACGACAGAAACAAATTTTTTACCCTGTGGTTGTGTTTTTGTTTTTACCGCCATCTGTCGCGGAGATACAAAATCTCTCACATAGAAATCCTTTCGTTTGCTACCCATAGGTGGCGGCAGGATAACATACCGAAAATTTGCAAACACGTTGAATCTAGTTGTGGACATCGGGGTTGATATCATTAGATGATTAGTATCAACTAATAGTCTAGGTGTTCAATTTGATATGTAGGATATTTTGAATGAGGATGCTTCAGCCTTTTAATAATTTATTACAATGCTACACATAGGTAAGGTGGGGCAAGGTGAGGTTGCTTGGTGAAAGGTCGCGCCTTTGCGACAACAAATTACCCCTTTCTACTTTCTAGTTTCTTGCTAGAAAATACTAAATAGTTGACAACACCCTCAAGAAGACCTTCTGTAAATTTTTAAGACTGTACCCCCACATTAACCAAACTCACGACATGGGGGTGTAAACGCTACTCTGACCAAAACGTGTATGTTGTAACTTGGCTCTAGTACTAGTACTAGCAGGAGTAAGATAATATAGATCTTACTCATAGATCTATATTATCTTACTCCTGGTACTAGTAGTACTAACTACTATATAGCCCGCGTACAGTTGCCGCTGGCAAGCGGCTGTTGGCGTTGCCGCGGCCAGCGGCAACTGTACGCGGGCTATAGTACTAGAGCTAGTTGTAACTTGTCATATGTCGTGAAGTTGCCGACTCTGTCTCTGACTGCACTGTCTGACGACTGCAGCCATAAGTGCATAGACTAATACACCGTATAGACTACGAATTTTAGCGTGCGTCAGACGCGCGCTAACTAGGACATCGTACAGACTGCATATTTGACCCTAGTTTAAATGAGTCATCAGTTCTCCCACCGCTCAGTTCCCTGCTCGCTACGTCACCCCACAGACAGCGAGCGTACAATTACGTGACCTAAATAAGGCTATGCGCGCGCTAGGCACCGGATTGCGTACAGATACAGCATAGAGCGGGATAACTTGGTCTGGACTATGTTAGCCCTGCTTCATTTGCGGGGTAAACTTGGAGCGGGCCAGCAGGTATTTGGAGCGGTATAGTGTGTACACACTGCAATATTTAGCACGCGTCAGACGTTTAATACCATATAAAATTCGTAGTCTGTACGGGGTATAAGAAAATCAAATTAATATATTCTTAGTCTATGTGCTTAGCCAGCAGGCAGCAGGGCCCAATCCACAGGCACTTCGAACGTCTCAATAAAAAAAAGGTAAATAAACACGAAATGTATTTACTACCAAAGTCTTAATGTTTCTTCTTGTTCGCCTATTTTGTCGATAACTTGCTGTAAATGCCGTTCAAATGCTCATCTGCAACACACAAGTACACCGCACGCATGCCTTGTGCACAAACAACAAGAATAAGAAAAGACTATTATTCTTGTTGTTTATAAAAAACTATTTGTCGTCACCATAAATAGTAAAGAAGAAACAAAATATTTCCACTTGTTCACAAAATATAAGTAATTCTGTTCACTTTTTATGGTTAACTTAATATACTGCATTATACTTCTTATTTTACTATATTGTTTGATGTGAACATACACTCGTGACGCATATATATAGCCTATAGCAAGCAATTAATGTCAGGAACACTAATATCAAATCGTCCAGGTTTTTTTTATTTTTAACTAGTTGAGAAACAAACTTATCAGGTAATAATTTGACGATACGTTTAGTCCCGTTAGTTCTTACTTTTTAGCTCATCTGACATAGTCAGATGCAGCTTGTAGAATCGCTTGATCGTCCGTCTGTCCGTCCGTGCGTTATGGCATGGGATGGCATGGGATGGGATGGGATGGGATGAGATGGGATGCAGTGGGATGGGATGGGATGGGATGGGATGGCATGGCATGGCATGGGATGGCATGGAATGCGATGGGATGGGATGGGATGCGGTGCAATGGGATGGGATGGGATGGGATGGGATGGATGGATGGATGCATGAATGGATGCATGGATAGATAGATAGTTCGATTTTTTGGGGTATTTTCCTTTCAACCAAGCAGTCACCAGCTGAGTAATGCCACTGATTTCCCCGGGCAACGCTGGGTATCCCGCTAGTCCTATATATGTGTGCATGTGTGCAGCATGCAAAAGCAACACCGATATCGGACATTTGAGGAATGTTACCATCGTCTTCGGAAAAAACGGGATATCATTATCAGTCTTTCTTAAGGGAATTGACTGTGGATAGTGGATACCAAGTAGTACAAATACGTAAATGGTGCAAGCAACGAGCAACATATAATGTGGAGTTCTAGCAGCATGAATATAAGTGATGACTTGAAATAATTGAACTTAGGAAACACAAAACATATGCAAAACAAGTGCCGCAGAGCGACAGTGCACAACTGACGTGTACTGTAGCTGGGTATTCTTCTGATAAACCCTCCCGCCACCGCGTTCACGCTCAGAGCATATATCTAGGATACTACTAATAAGGATCTATCAAAAATCTATGATACGCTTTGCTATACCGGTAGTACAGTAATAAAGATACAGCTGTGTAACTTTAATGACTTCACTGATACCATGTTATCATGGATATGCGGAGATTATTGTCATTAAGACAATTTTGTAGTATAGTGTAAACGTCTATTTTATAGCGTTAATAAATTAGTCAGTGAGATTAGACTGGTAGTTGTTTTACCATAATAGTCCAGCTAGACAGCGTCGCTCAACACCAGATGGCGGCAGCATTGATGTTACAGGGTTGGATTCGGGTTCTAGGTTAGCAGTTTCTAGGGTGATTGTGAAATGAGGGAACGGTTGGAGCTGGAGAGAACGGGGTGACATGTGCGCTCAAGATCTATGTTGGGGCGAATATATAGGGAAGAGAGGTGATAGAAATAGTTGGGATTCGTGGGCTCTGGGCGCGAGCTGAGCCACGCGTATGCGCGTGTGCGCGTCTTTGTCTCCTTTGTGCGATGGTGGCTACAGTGTACAAGCTAATAAGTTTATTCTGGTTACTACACAAATTTGACTCTTATATCTTCATTATTTCGACATCAACGCCTCATTGCAACGTTATAGTTTTTGGTGCCGTGATCAAGGATCTGGGTTAAGCGAAACACGTAAGGTACTACCTACTTCATTATATCGATCTATATACGGACCATACACAAGGAAGATGGAGAAGGAAGAACGACGAAGAGCGAGAAGCGGGAGAGGAACGGAGGATCAAGGAGATCGTAGGAGAAGAATGACGCAGACGCAGAGACAGGCGGAGAAGGACGAAGACGCGAGTGTTGCAGGTTATGAGCTGGGAGCCAGGCTGCGCTGGCGCCGATGACGATGACGATGGCGACGAGGATCGGGCTGGAAATCATGGAGGAGACGGCGTTGGGCCGCCGCGTCGGCAATTGTCAGCGGAGAGGAGAAGGACGTGAAAGGAAGAATAGATTCGACGAAGGAAGAGAAGGATGCAGTTACACGAAAGGAACAAGAAACGCGAGCAGATGAACGAGTCGGAAATACTTAAAATGGTATGTGAATCAATCTTGTGTCGGCATTTCTTTCGTATTAAAGTGAAAACGTTAGTTATAATGTCACCCCAGTCTCTCCAGCTCCAACCGTTCCCTCATTTCACAATCACGCCTAGAAACTGCCTAACCTAGACCGAATCCAATCCCTGTAACATCAATGCTGCCGCCCATCTGGTTGAGCGACGCTGTCTGCTGACTATATGGTAAAACAACTACCAGTCTATCTCCACTGACTAATTCATGTAACGTATAAATAGACGTTTACACTGCATTATCCTTCTTATTTTACTATATTGTTTGATGTGAACATACACTCGTGACGCATACATATAGCCTATAGCAAGCAATTAATGTCAGGAACACTAATATCAAATCGTCCAGGTTTTTTTTATTTTTAACTAGTGTAGAACAAACTTATCAGGTAATAATTTGACGATACGTTTAGTCCCGTTACGTTTCCTTACTTT